ATGGAAACCCCAGTGGCACAGCTCTCCTCCAGCACACGGGCTCACTGTGAGTTGGAATCGACTTGGTGGCACCCGCTGACTTCCAAGCTGGGTTCTCAGATAGAAGTGGCTTTCTCAGGCTTTCTAGCATTCTGTGCTGCCAGGGTTGAGAGCTGCAGATCTGAGAAGACCCGTGCATAACTCATCCGAATTCCAGGGTGCCTTCGTCTTTACAGAAGGGCTAGCCATCTTTTTTGACAGTTAGAGAGAAGGAAGGCAAGTTGGAAAACCTGGATGTCGAAGTTCCCAGGTACAGCAAAATTGAACACGATACCTGAATTGCAAAGACAGGTCCCTGTAGACTGGCGGTGGATGGCAGGTGTGAGCTGGACATTGGAAACAGAGCGAGGTAGCAGGTCTGTCAGTGCTGGCTGACTGTGAATTTCTTATTTTATGATGTCACTGCTACACCTCTCCCTCTGCTTCGTTTTAGATTACCGATTTTGGACAGTCCAAGATCTTGGGGGAGACGTCGCTCATGAGGACGCTGTGTGGCACCCCCACCTATTTGGCCCCTGAGATTCTGGTTTCCCTGGGGACTACGGGGTACAACCGGGCAGTGGACTGCTGGAGTTTAGGCGTTATTCTTTTTATTTGGTAAGAAAAGCTTTCTCATGCCACAGTCTGGTTGGAGGTTGTGAAGATGAAGTCCAAAATGTGTCCAGGTGGCATGCTCCTGAGGGCATCTCTGACCATCGGGCCAAAGAAAGTTGTGGCTTTTTAATTGTTTCATTATGCTGGGAACGATATGTAATTGTATCCGAATGCCATGAGAATTCCTCCTGATTTCTTTTCCTTTTTTGTCTCTACCATCGTTAAGCCTCAGTGGGTATCCACCTTTCTCTGAGCACAAGACTGAAGTCTCATTGAAGGAGCAGATCGCCAGTGGAAAATACAACTTCATTCCCGAGGTCTGGGCCGAGGTCTCTGAGAAGGGTATGTCCGGAGAAGGGTCGAGAATCGATGGCTTGCTGTCCTGTGTGTCTCGGCGAGCCTGCATGTGCCCTTTGGTGGGAGTGTCTTTTCAAACCTGCTGCTGTTTTCGCCTCGCCTGTCAATTCTCTTCTTTCCTGTTGCTTGCTTTGTACCATTGGGGAGGCCGACGGATAGATGAGCAACTGAGCTCCCAGGCTAGGCTGACGTGGGCTTCATTCCTGGATCTGCCAGTTCCCAGCTGTGTGACCCGGAGCAAATTGCTTAACATCTCTTGAGTCTCTGTTTCCTTATTTGTACAAGGGGCTCTGTGACTTCTACCTTGAAGGGTTTCTGCAAGGGCTGAGTGTGAGGAGGACTGGAGGCTCAGGGGCTACGTGTCAGGTAGCTAGTGGAGAGGTTAAAGGGTTCCCGCTGGCAGGCACGCTGCAGGAGAATGGCCTAGTGGCCTGCTCCTGTAAAGATACCAGCCAAGAAAACTCTCCGGTCCATCTTGCCCTGTCTCCCGGCATCACAGAGTCAGAAGTCAGCAGGGAGGAACTTGTCACCAAGTCTAGTGTATACAAATGCCTGGTTCC